AGGCCTCGACAACCTACCACCGCCGTTGCTCTCCGCGAAGGTGTTTCTCCCGAGAAGCTAGCGGAACGGGCCTCTGACGTCTTCTTTCCGCAAAACCGCAGCATGGCCTGGCATGTTACACTCGCATACCCCCTGCCTACGAACCCATCAGTTTGAACTTTCTCTTCAATCTTCACGAACTCAAGACCGCACTTGACGGGGTTAACACCGGTAGTGCACCCGGCCCCAAAAACATCACTGTCGGGCAACTTCGCGATCTCCCCACGGCCTACAAAAATACCTTAAAGACCTTACTGTTTGAGATCAACAAGGTACGGAACTCTGAATGTATCCGTCCCAAGTGGCAGTCCCATCTCAAAACCCAACAAATCACTCACATCCCTAACAAACCTACGCCCAATATCCTTTACATCACGTCGCTGCAAAACGGTCGAGAGTATGCTCAACGCCCGCCTGCAGTGGTGGCTCGAACAGTACCAAATTCTTAGTCCCACGCAGTATAAGTTCCGTCCAAGACTCTCCACTCAAGACGGTCTCTCCCGCCTCCAACACGATGTGCTCTCCACATCAACACCGCATCTACGCATCGTGTCCGGAGTCGACACACTTAAGGCGTCTTACAGCGTCCCGCACTCTTCAGTCTTTTCCATGGCGCAACAGTGCGGCATATGCGGTCGGGCATGCAACTTCATTGCTGCATTTCTTGAATATCGCACCTTCACCATTTGTATTGACACAGCTCACGGCCTTACATCACAGCGGAGTGGGCATTCCACGAGGATCCGTTCTATCTCCGTTGCTTTTCAACACTGTCCTTGCTGGCCATCCATCTCGCCCATGCGACCTATGCCGACGATATTACGTTCTGGATCCAGCCTGGCTCTCCCGGTCACCAACAAGGCACCATTTAAGCCTGACTCGACATCGTACAAGACTATGTCCGCTCTGTCGGCCTCGCTCCCGTCCCAGATAAGACGGAGTTTGTCGCTACTCATGGTGGTCCCCGCACACCTGCGAAAAAAGCTGAAAAGCAGTGCACCCAGCTAACGCTCGCAAGCGTTAGCAGCCAAACCAGCCGACGGCGCCAGTATACCTGACAAGTTGGGCTAACCCCCTGGACGTTCCCTCTCTCTCTCTCTCTCTCATCTCCCTCTGACTCGTTTCCAGACCTGCCTCCCACACCAAGCACGGTGGGAGCGCTCAAATCAAAGTCAAATTGGACGTTTAGTGTTTATACAGTGTAAGGTTGGTCTGCCAGGATGAGGCGACACTGGTTTACACTGTAGATGAGCAATTTTGCCTGTACAGTACGACTGCTAACCTGGGGTCTTTAACGTGCTCACGCAGTAGTGATACACGACCGCACGCCGGTACGATGCTCATCCAGATCGAAACGGGCAGGGGTGGGGCTCGAACCCAGGATCCCTGGGTTCTGCAGCGCGAGCTTTCGCTCCACGCGCGGCGAGCTGGGTGTGCGCTTCAGCCCACTCGGCCACCGATCCCCCCGTGGGAGCGCTCCTCGCTTCCGTCCTCCTCGAGAAGATTTACCCTCAGATTTCACTGAACCCTGAGTGCACCCACTGCTGCACACCAGCTACACTCGGACATCTTTTATGGGACTGTCCCTTTCACTCAGCAGCACGCTCTCGCGCGCTTTTCACTCTTTCACCTGGCCCCTCCACTCTCGCCAAGTGGCTCAACTCCCCTTCTTCACCCGACCCCGGTTGTGTCCTCGCGGCATCACACTGACATCTAGATTTCTTGGAAGACTCCCAGGCGCCCTCGCTTGGCTCCGGGCTACTCAGGCCCTACGAGACGTTGATTGGCGCCTCTCGTCGTCTAACTTTTTCTGGTGACACCAGCAAGAACTAGAGGTCTCACCCCTGACCAAACAGCATTGCGCAGAAAACGCTAACTCCTCTGGGCCCATTTGCTCGAAGCTGGTTAACTCTAACCGCGGTTAGAAGTTAACCGCATTTCCCCACGAGGGGGAATTTTAGGTCACGTAACCGGCAGAGAAAGGACGGCGGGGAAACATGGCGGCGCCCCGGTGAGTGAGCGCCGCTCGCTTTGGAACTAATATGTCGTTGTAGCTGCAACATCAAACGCGTTAGTCAGCAATGAATGGTGCAAGAGGCTTTCGCTTTGCCTTACCTCACTTAATCGTTAAGCACGAGCAATGACCTCGCCGAATTTTTTAGATAGCCTTTCGATTCTGGCCCTTCCTAAGCCTAAATGAACGCGAAAATTGTCGGCATGGCAACGTCTTTGGAGAGTGGATTGCCTTGACTCAATCGGCCGGGCATTGATAGCACACGAAAGCAGACAGCGTCCCAGAAGACCTTTTGCTGAATTTCCCAAGCACCGAGGTGCACTCCATGAGTGTAGTTACACGCGCTGCACGTGCTGGCGTCTGCAGTAGTAACTGTTCTAAAGCAAAAAGTCAAGAACGAATTTTGCCTTACACGCGCGTTTGTCAAAGCTTTATTATTTACTTCGAATTTTTTATAAGGGGAAGGCCAGCGCGCGCGGACCGTATAATTACACTTCCAGCGTTCTCCTCGATGCTTGAGTAATTTACAAATAGGTGTATTTTCACTGGAGCTGAATCACAGGTTTTTCAATCTATGATGGTGTTATTTACAGTTATTACATGCTGGACAACCATGCTGCCGGTGTACCACCCGGCTTTCACTGCTCACTTCTTCCTTATCGTTTCTATAAGACTGAACTTCGTCGTCCTCTTTCGAACTTGGAAGAAAATTTCAACGAGGATTGTCTTCAATCCAGACAGCCAAGCATTTAAAAATTTTTCACACAAGGGTGAATTTAGTTTTACCTTATCCAATATCTGTACCACGAGCCACACAAAAATGCGCCTGCTCAAATGCATGCCGTGCAGCGTTGCGAAAACCCGATAGTGCGCGTTTTTGGGTGCCCCCTTTTCGGGAACTTTTTCCACGGAAGCCACTTACATTCGCTACAAACCAGTAGGTGACACCAGCTACCACCCCATAATAAAGCACGGAGCTATCGCTCATCCAGCCTTCGTCAAACTTGGCTAGGTACTTGTAAATACCTAGTAGGTAAGGGCTGTTAACTTTTAACCGCGGTTAAAGTTAACCGGCTTCAAGCAAACGGGCCCTGGTCGTTAAATAATAACGTTTTACTCACTCACTCACTCACAACTCAGAGTGAGGATACTTGAACTTCCTCCGCTGGTGCAAGCTCGTGCAATGCCAAGCTTCTAGACACTATGAAAATTAAAACATAACTGACTGGCCAACACGTGCACTACCGATAGTGAGGAAAACAGAAGCGCCCCTAGTGAGCTTCTCACCGCGAATGCATCGTCACACAATACCTACTATAGTGAATCCTCTGTACAACAGGCTGTTTTATTCGCACCCAAATGACTGTCATTTAGGGTGAGGAAACATCTCTGAAGAATAAACATAATTAAAAAAGCAAAACAAATATAGACACCCCTTGCTTCACTTTTTCCGAAATATAGTATGATTACATTCACAACATGTATGCATATCGTTTAGGTTTAGGCTATAGGCACAAAATATTAAATCATAAGAATTTATTTTAATTCGCATCTTTATATAGAAATTTGGTCACATATCCCACACGTAGCACGAGTGGTTGGAACATTTATTCGCGTAAAACAAGTTACAGAGAACAAATGATAAAACTTAAACTACCAGAATTGTTGAATTCCCTATAAAAGTGCAGTATACGGCCTGAGTTAACATGAACCAAAGATTTTAGGTTATTCTTTTTTTTTTTTATGAGAATGTGACTATATAAAAATGGCAGGTGTTTGATATTTTTGTTCGAATTAATAGTAATTATTTGAGTTGTTTCAGTGTGATCTATATACCTCTTTCTGTTTAAATGCGCTTCATAATATTTTTTTTTTCTTTTTGCGCAGAGTGGTTTTGCTTAATGTACGTAGTGTAATGTCTGCCTTCGTGATCTTTATTGCATAATTTCTACACAGGAGGGAACTCGTAAAGCTGATTTTTTAGCTTGGCGAGCTGCCTGTCGCCTTAAGGGAAAATGAAGGTATTATTATTTTTACTTGTTGTGGCAACGAAGATCATACCGCTTAGGGTGTCGATTAATTCTGATGCACTGTAGACAAAAACAACTTGACATTATGGAGCAATACTACTTTCAGATTGAATAAGCTGTAGTTAAATCATAGGCTACCCATTAGTCCTATGGGTTTCTCTCATCAAGACGACTGTTAACCTTCCCCCCCTCCCCCTCTCTCCCCCCCCCCCCCCCCACACACACACACACACAAAGAAAAAAAAACGCATGTAAGTTGCAGCGGTAGCGCGGATTATCGCCATCGAAACAATCGAGGTAATTTACGTCGGGACCATATTTACACCGAGTAAGCAAGGAAGACAGCCTTCGCAGAGCACTTTGCGTTATCCCTGACGTTGAACTCTACACAAAAGGACGAACTGACATCCAGCGCGGAGCTAGCCTTCAGAGGCAGAAAACACGCCAGAAAGAAGCAGGTTTGCGCGGTCAGTGCAGTGGTTCAACGGGATCAAAAAAAAAAAAAAAAAAAAAAAACCCTGAACAGACGCAATGGCGGGCAACACAAGCTAAACGAGCATATAGACTTTTGCGTTGCACACGAATTTACAAAGAGAGTGCAAGCAAATAGTGCAAGTCAGGTCTCACCTACTCCCCTTTATGCACGGTGCATCAAATAAAGGCCCGTTCACACATGCAGCGCAGCGCTGAGCGAACGCAAATTCAGTGGTGCTGCACCTGCAGAAGTGGTTCAGCGTTGAGGTGCCGCTGAACAAGCAGGCAAAGGCGGGATCACGCGCAGTGGGAGGCAGCAATGATGTAGCACAAAGTCAGCAAGGTGTCTAAAGCACTGAGTTGGCGCTGCGCTGTCTCATCGCAGCACCCGTGGCGCTCGAATCGAGCGGCCACAAAACGCGCTTGCCAGTACGAAGTCTCACCTGGTGGTCGTCCGGGGCCCAGATGCCGCACAGGATGGCGGCCCGGTCCAGGTTGAGCGTGGACGACCAGTACCGCTGTCCGGCCACCGAGCCGACGAGCACGAAGCCGTCCTGGTAGCAGATGAGCGCCATACGGCCATCGTGGCTCCAGGCGAAGTCGGTCACCTGGGTGTTGCGGTCGTTGATGAGCTCGATGGACCAGCGGCCCTCGTACTTGATCCACACGAAGATGATGCCGCTGCTGTCGCACGACGCCAGCTTCTGGTACGGCTCGTTCCACTTGACCAGGGTCACCTGCGCATCAACAGTGAAGAAAGGCCTTCAATGCGATCACTCAAGAGACAGCGTTCTTTTATTATTACATTATTGTTTTACGAGCGGTTGGAAGATTCTTTTGTGCTCACACATCGAGTCATGATTAAAAGTTATTACTGCACGTTGCACGCTGAAGTCTCGCTTAGCAGTCAGTGAAGACACCGTACGCCGTTTCAAGGTAGGCGATACTCCGTTTCACTTTATAATGTACCACGCCGTACAGGCTACGAGCCCAGTTAGTGCATAGCCTTCTACATGCTGACAAAGCCTGGCAGACCGCCACGAGAAGTGGCCGCCGAAATGAAAAAAAGTGGAGCGGCAGACAACGGATGAGAGGAGAGCCACGTGAATGGTGCCCCGCTGCGACGAGACGCCGAAACACACTGATCCCGAGTGAACACGTGTGTTTCGGGCCCTCGCTGCTGCAAAAGGTGTGCGCTGACGTCCAGGTTCCCCGAGAAATGTCTCTTTGATGCTCTGTGCTTCCAGATGCTCGCGCTCCAAATCTGAGACCGGGCACTCTTTGGCCCCGTCGTCGAACTGCCAGGCTTTGTGAGTATAGAAGAGGCTATGGTTAGTCAATCCAGTGTTCCATTGATGGGGCGTGCCTTCAAGCTCCGCGTGCACGTCGGTTCGCCGAGCAGGACGACACGATTCGACCTATGACTTTGCTCCGGAGCTTCGTAGCTTTTGTTGCGGTCTATCGTGAGGTGAAACAAAGTATAGCGTGTTAGAGCGCAGGTAAATTGCACGGCCTCAGAACTTTTAAGAATAGATTCGATTGTACGAGCTATCGTGAATTGCGAACGATGCCTGGCTCGAGGAACAAACTAGACGCTAGATGTGTAGCGGAAGCTTAGTCTGCCGGAGTTTTCGGTGAGACTCTTACGCTATGGAGATCAGAAATGTAGTCAATGCGGAACCACTGCCAGCCCAGGTTCATTAGCGTGCATCACCAAGTGGTGATTGCACGAATACGCGCCGGTACGATGTTCATTTAGATTGGAGGGTGGGCATTGAACGCAGGATTTTCGGATTCTGCAGCACGACCAAAGCCAAGTTCGTAGATTTGTGCCGGTTGTATTCACTGAAACTGAAACGACAACGACAAAAAGAGATCACAAATAAACAGTCCTGTGTGAATACACAGTACAATCCCAGCGATCGCTGCTGGCACTACATGAGATCGTAATGAATCATTTTGTATCTTGCCCTTTACATTGAGGTTTTATCGCCAATATCTGCTTGTTGAGTGACACACTCATCTCTAACTGATGATCTACATTAGTTCGACGGTAGAGAGAGATAGAAGTAGGTTGAGAGCTAAAGAGAGAAAGGTCATAACAGTAATCATTGTAAAAGAGTCCGCGCGCGTAATCTTTTTCATCCGTGCTTGATCGGTCACAAGTGACATAAGCGACCTATCTGCTTCTTGAGGTGGTTTCCACGCGGCATACGAAACAAGGTTTTTCCTTTGACTTCGCAGTGGCTGTCATTTCGGTAGCTGTTGGTGCAACCAACGAACATGATGTACCAGTGGGCTTTGCTGCGCTCTCAGGTCAAGTAAGATGAAGCATATAGTTGCGCTCTTCGCCGCAGCACGGAATTCCCGTGATGTCGTCCGGTCTATTCGTTGCGCACTCTCGCGTGATGTATTATCTTTTCTGTCCCGAGAATTAGGAGGTGTATTACATAAAAATGTGGTGGAACACTGCTGCCAATGTCAGCTCGGCACAAAAGTTTAGCAATGGGATGGCTATGGTGGTGCGGTCCAAAACTAGCTCTTATTGGCAGTCAGGTATTTCCATTTTCATGCCTGTGATGTAACATCTTAGTGCCAAAGGCACACTTGAGCTGCATGATTACCTTATTTACAGCCACGTTAATGATTACTAAAAAATGAGAGAGAAACATATCGCGTTTCTGTAACATAAATTATGCTCTAGCGTAACGCGTTTTTTTTAATGCGCGTATTGCGGTGGTTGCTTGCGAGCACTTTATGACATCGCACTTGCAAGCAATTACCGAACTTTAGACAACACATAAATATACAGTCTCTCCTTTCTAATGGATACAAAAATGGGCGCCGGCTAAACTTTTTAAGTGAGATAAATTTAGCGAGAAAAGCACCTCGTGCCCTCGCGTCCGCCGACGTGCGCTTTCCCCGGCGGCCCGCGCGCTTAGTGGCAAAGCCCCTCCCGCCGTAATCAGCTTCTCGAGTTCCGGCGAACGCGTGGCGTGCCCGAGCACGGCCCGAGTCACGGCGCGCAAAAGAGCCGACAGCAGTGCCGCTGTAGCCGGAGCGGCTCTTCCGGACTCGTAATCGAATTTAGGATTCGGGCAAGGCTGGAGATCCCGGCGCAAAGCCCGATGCGATAGAGTGCCGTGAAACACGGACTGTGAGAACTTGGGGAAAAATAAACTTTCCGAGAAGGCTCAGAATGAAGGCCGTCATTCGGATTAAGGGTACCTTAGCGGAATGTAGGTTCTCGCTTGGAAGCTCACCAGCGATGTTTGCGACAGAACACAACAACCGGGAAGTTTAGTTTTGAGTCCTTTCACTCCGCGTCCTCTATCTACGCGCCCTGTTGAAATTGTGAGACGAATTATTCCGTAACAATTGCCGCAGCGTCCTGTTGCTGCTTAACTTTGTGACGTTGTTAAGAACATAAAAAGTGTAATTAAGAGTATTTTGTTGTGTAAATGGGATAAATGAAACACTTAAGTTCAGAGACGTAATATCCACACATAACCTTTTTTTACAAATACACAATTTTGGACGAAAATTATTATTAACTCTAATATATGGTGTTTTTTTTCGCGAGGGTTAAAGTTTTGACAACTTCTTTCCCGGCATAATTTCACTACTCAAGAGTGTCAAAAGGCACAAGTAACTTGAGTCTTGAGAACTAGATTACACAACCTATTCATTTGGCCGGCCCTCCCCAGAATACATAAGCAAAATTCTTTCTTACCTTCATAAAATGAACTTTAGATTGGTTACCTAAGCTCCTTGGATCACGTATGCTGCATTTCTTCACCCTTATATCACTTTTTGTTGGCTTTACATAGACCGTTTACACAATACCATTCAGTTGAAAACGTGAGCGTTTGCCCTTGTTGTACTGGCGATGTCGCTAAAGAGCGTGGGATGGCGACACCACTGGCACCAAGACGTATATGTACCTAAAAATAACTCAACACCGCTACAAGTTTTTGAAAAAAGAAATTGAGGTCTTCCTTGCCGAGTCTCAAAGGGAACACCTTAGATTAACTTAATAACAGCGCGTAATTTCGCTGATGATTTTACAGCCTAAGTGAAACCAGCAAACACAGCCATATGTTGCTACCGTCGCCTCTAACTCCTTTCTCCGGTCGCATCTTCGAATTGCGACGGAACCCAGAACACATATCCTGACAGAGTAATAGTTCAATTTTTATAACACAACCTAAGTATTTTCTAGCTTTATAAATATTCAATTATCTGTCATGGCGGCGGCCGTCAAAACACCTCCCTATATATTTGATTATTTGAAGAAAAACGCTGGTGTGAATATAGAGCTCGTATGTTGTAGATACTTATGGCGCGTTTACATTTGCGCATTCGCGGGCAGATCCGCGCAGCATGTTGGTGTATTTTTCCACCGGGTGGCGAAACCGGCTCGTCGCTGGCGGAAAATCTTGATATGGGTCCCGGACTGATCCAGATTTTCCGCCAGCGACGAGTCGATTTATTTCGCCACGTGGCTCCATAATCCGCTTTCCGCCTGCGCGGATCCGCCCGCGGATCCGCAAGTGTAAAGGCGCCGTTATACAGTTTGCTCCAGAGGAAATAATCATATACTCTCACTACTCGGCCCAGGTTTCCTCGCAAAAAAGGCGAAGTCGTTATTTGGTTGTAGCGAAGCTAACGTGCTAAAAGTAACATATATATACTTGTGATTTATGCGATAGTGCAAATGCTCGAGCTAACACCGACAAAATTGGCCAGTGATCAAGAACATGACTTATTACCTCTAATGCCCATCCAGGGAGCTTCGTGCTATTTCCCGACAGATGGGGGAGTCTTCTGGCACTAATCAGGAACCAGCTAGCCTGTTGGCGCTCGTTACAGCAACTAACGTCCGGTTGTCGGCGATGGCAATCCGTCATTAATCCCCATTTGATATTTGAAGCAAACCTCTGAGAAACCAGTCATTTTACTTCGGGCGCGCCCCTCACGGGGCAAGGACTCGTACGGTACAAGTCAACTCTGAAAGCTTTCAGTAAGCGCGTCTAGCATCTTCCATTATTTCAGCTTAGAGGACGACCCAAAATATCAAGTAAGTTGGAATCCCCGAAAAGCATACCGTACTTAAAATATACGTTGAAACTAGAAATGTTCTGACGAATATACGAGCAGGTTTTTTGTATGGAGGCTCCAACAGAATCATTTATAACCGTTACAAAACTCGTAACAAAAAAAAAAAAAAAAAGCTTTAAGAAAAAATGTTACTTTTCGGTTCCCAGTCTGAATCGGCGCACTCATTTGATGCCCGTACCCGCCAGAGAACCGGGCCGGCACTAATGACTCTCCTATACCCCGTTCCCCCTTGAAATGAACCGCGGAGGTCGCCATAAGCCACCCAGCCAGTCCAACGCTGCGAACGTGACCGGTGACTATACGCTTTCCGCGCGCGAGCGTCACGTGACGCGAAGATCACGTGACAATCAGACGGCATTGCAATGGGTTCCGTTGGCTCGTATCGTGCGCTGCGGTCCATCGTGGGAGGAAAGCGAGTGCGGTCCCCGGTTGACAACGCAGTATCCACAGCCGTACGTTTGTCTGACCTAATTCCGGTGGGGCATTTTGTGTGTCAATTTCATCAACTCGTTTTCTTTTGTATTTTATTACGCTTGGATGGATGGTTTTCGCTTGCGCGGTTTTGATATAAATCGGTCTAGGTCAAGCTCGGCTGAGTTAGACGGTCGAGGCAGAG